AATAGGCGTGTATTTCAACGAAAGGATCGGTGCAGAAATCAATTACTTACATATATAAATATTCTATAAATATACACAGAAATTTCTGTTCTCCATTCCGTCTTTAAATACTGAAATTTGACATTGTAAAGCAACAATGTATCGTGCACTTATCATGTAATTGCATTGGTAAATTTTTGAGGTTGATCCTTCTTTAGTGAAAACTGAACTAAGCACTGACGTACAGACCGACAAATGCATATTGTTTTGAGAAAACTAATTTCTTTAATTAAAATGTACAATATTGGAATGTTGAAATGTGTATCGTGTCTTAAGCAAAAGTGATATTCGAATAAATCTTTGTCGCGTAAAAAAAAACATTGACGTCAAATTATTCGAGAGAAACGTAAACAAAGGGAATAGATTATATTGCAATATTTTGCATAACTATATTTAACATTCCTTTTCTTGAATTTTTTAATTTTGAAAATATTTCTAGTGTTGTTATATTGTATGATTTTATTATATGATTTATTTTCGTCGTCTCGTTTAAAGGCTGTTTAGCTGTGTAGCTTTAATTAGGCTTTTTATGTGGTTTCTACATTTTTTTCTTTTCTCCCAATATGTGTGTTTATTTTACTATGAATGCAGAAAGTTTAATGTTGTTCAGTTAATAAAAGAAATTTGCAGCTACACGATGATTGTACGATCATTGAGTTTCTTCCCGAATGCGACTATTACCTCTTCCCATCTGATTCTAACTAATCGTTATCAGAATACATCGTTGGTATCATTTTTTTACAACCTTTTGTCATCTCATAAGTTTGTTTATTAATTTATCGAACGACCTGGAAACTGACATTTTAAATAAATAAAGTGCGTTGTTTGGGAAATGTGTCATTACATAAAATACGTGTAGTCTTTGCGTAACAAGAAAATACATCACCAAGATTTCCGTGCTTCTTCTTCGCGAGACTTTCTTCCGTCGATTTCTCTGCGGAAAGATTCATAGTGTCTGCTTCCTTCGGAATGCAAGATGCAGCAGGCATTCGTCTTTTTTCGTACAAACTGATTGTTGATCCGAAGCTAGAGCTTCGCAAAACGAACGCTCGCGATCTCGCGGCGATGACAGATATAAAACCACGTGGCTCGATTACTGTATCGATGTACGATAATCCCGATTTGGAGTGTTCTCATCGTAATATCACCGATCAATCGGCCCGATTCTCCACCATGAGAGCGCGTACTTTATTGACCATAGATAATTGCAAATTATCACACTTTAATAGTCTCTACAATCACTGAGCATATACCCTTGATATCATCGATTGTCGATTGCTGTAACGTCGCACGGTTAGCGCGAAAGGTATACACGCGTCCAATGATAGATTATCCTCCTTGTAATCGTGTGATGGAGCGCAGCTTACGGGCAAGTCTTTCAAGCAGATAGAAAGGGGTACGCGATCGCTGCCGCAGGCACTTCAGACGATCTGCGACGCATGATGAACCGGATGCGGCGGAAACGAGGCTCGGGTTCATCCCGATGGCATCGTCCGTTTCCGCGATGCGGCCCGTGCTGCTGCGTACGATTCGACGATCAGTCGCGTCAGTCACTCTCCCTCTTCTAAGGACTGTCGTCGGGTATGGCATACCAAGCGGCCGGATCCGCGGCGAGGGCCCATGGGCCTGCGACGGAGGGATTGGCGGCGTAGGCCGCGGCCCCCGCCGCGGATGGCGCGCACTACCAGGCGCGGCCCTGCAACGGCAGATACGCGCCGCACTGCGGCTGCTGTTGCTGCTGCATACCCTGTTGGGCGCCGGCTCGCGTGTACGAGCAGTGCTGGAGACTCTGGCTCGAGCTCATCACGTGGCTGACGCCGGCCACGACCGAGTGATGGGACGAGGCGGCCGCATGGTGAGTGCCGTGCGGACTCGAGGCCGCGGTCATGTGCGGCGCCGGACTCGCTAGGGCCGCGCTGGGCCCGCCGCGGCTACCCTCGTTCCCGCCGCCACCGCCGCTCCCGCACGGCTTGCCGTCCTTCACCAGCACCGGCACCGCAACCCGTCGCGGCGAACTCGCGCTCTGAAACAGTCAATGATTGTCGCATCTTAGTAAAATCGTTCTCTCTTAATGTGAAAATATTTATAAACGCTTTATAAATGATTTATATAGAGAAAAAACCAAATCTCTTATAAATATTATTTTAAATAAGCATTTCTGAGGATTTCTAAAAATTATTATGCATTTTCTATGTATTTGTACCTGTATCATCTTCACGAAAAATAAGAGGAAGAGATTTCACATATACTTTATTTGCACGCGTCCTTTCGGGATCTTCCAACCATGAAAATCGCGAATTAAATTTTTTTCTTGATTATATTTAGCTCAATTTAATAATCGTAAATTAATTTAATTCTTTCTTAATGAGAATACTTATAAACGTTTGTGATTGATATAGAGAAAGAACAAAATCTATAAATATTATTTTACGTAAGCATTTTTGGGGATATTTTTTTTTTAATTCTTATTTTAATTATTGAGCGTTTCAAAAAATATAAATAACTATTTTCTACGTATTTGTACCTATATTATTTTTATAAAAAAGAAAAGAGGGGGAGAGATTTCAAATATAATATTTTATTTAAACGAAACTATTTCTCCATCATTATTTTCGACAATCTGCATTTGAAATATGTCCACCACTGGTGGACAGGCAACAGCGCGAGCCGCTTCATGTGTCGTCGTATTAACCCTCGAAATGCGATCACGATGAGTACCACGAGATGCCAAGTGCGATCACTCCCTATGAACAATTACTGATTATCGGTCCCGGCATCGATTAATTAATTCTCGCGATTAAAATTACTTGCAAGCGTGGGCGTGAGTTATTTATCAACGCAGCTATTTCGCGCAATTTATTCAATTGAAGTAGAAATTGAAGCACACAATATGGGGTGGAAATTATAAAACATTATCTGATCTCGCGAAATATTTATGTATAAAGATAAATTCATAGTTATTTCTTTAACGAATGCTTTCGCATTCGAATGTATCCCCCTCATCGTGCTTTGAATTTTTCGTCGATTTAAATGTACTCTGTGTAAAACCATTTTTAGATTAAAAGCGCGTACACGAATCGAATGATCAAAATATAACAAAAAACCGTGATAGACCGTTTATTAATAAGTGTGTTTCGCGCGATTCGTGCTTGCAAAGTGTATCGAATTTTAATTCGTACATTTATTTACATATTATGTACATATATTGCATAAAAATACCAGATTAGTGATTGTCTTACACCGTTATATTATTATACATATACATTATTTATTATTTTTATATATATTGTTACATCATATTATATAAAATGTAACTAGGAGCAACAGGTGTAATGATAAGTCAAGTTTTTCGCGCGATGTTCGAATTCGCTTTATCATTAGACATTTATTCGTTTGCGATGATAACAGTTGCCATTTTTTCGTGTGTTTTATATTTTTACTATTTTTTATACATATAATATATAACCAGTATATTCACTCCATATCGATACTTTTGATCTTTTCAAAAAGATTAAAAGCACTGATATGGAAAATGAACGGAATGAAGTTATTATGAAATACTCAATATTGAAATAATCCTTAACTTTTGTATTATATTAAAAATAATTCTGATAATATATTTTCGTAATATGATAACGAAATATTTCGACATAGAAATTTATAAACATAAGCATATGGAAAACATAAAAAATTTTTACTGACAATAATACTGTGTGTGCGCGATTGTGTAAGAGCTCATTATTTGTTTCGGATTTTGTGGCTGAACTTTAGACGTTACATTATCAATAACTGACCGCAGTTTTTTTTTCATGACCTCGATAGAACTCCGCCATGCAGTAACTTAATGCCATCTATGAAAATCGGGCACGAACTTATGCAATCATCCAATATATGTGTGTCTATTGATTTATAATTCTATACTATTGTTGCATCATCCATTACTGGCCGGTTTGTCTTTTATGCTAAACGATGCCACGTCATTCGATATTTGCTGCAAATAAATACACTTAGTACTGATTCTATTCTTAATTAGAATCAGAAATTCAAAAATTCTCGTGGCATAAAATATATTTCACACATTTTAATTTTAAGAAAATATTCGTTCAATACATCAGTATGTACAATATATTTAGCAGATCATATTTTTTACTTTCTTTTACTATATATTATTATTTTATTTTCTAAATATGATTTTGTAAAAATATCAGAAAGAGAGAGAAAAAATCTCGATATTTAACATTTAATATATATTTATAATTTAACATTAAGATTGTATTGATACAAAAATATATATAATTAATAAAGCATGTGACATACACATTTGCAATTAATTACATAAAAAATTAATTATAGATTAATTACTGCATTTTATTTATGGATTCAATTTTTGTTTGTCAGTATATACTTCGGAGAAAAGATTATTAAGAAAATGTGTGTGTGTGTGTGTGTGTGGTCTGATGTAAAACAGTCTTTTACAATATTTTTACCGTCTATGATTCAAAATTTAATATCAAAGTTCAATAATTGAAGAGATGAGACATAATTATGTAATACACACACATTCTTACAATGAGTATATTTTAAAAGATACAAGGAGGGGAAGGTAGGAAGAGTAAGAAAGCCTCGGAGTATGTGTACAATATGCATATAGCTTAATAGCCGATTGTAGCCTTGGCAGTTAATGTTGAATCATTCTGTAAAAAAAGTCTTGTATCTTGAATATAGATAAAAAATATACATCGTTAAAGAATATACTTGAATATAAATATCAGTGTCATAGCATAAGCACTGTGACAATGAAATGCATATAAAGAATATAAAAACTATATAAAGATATACATGGGAAAGAGATATTTCTAGCTATATATTTTACATTATTGACTGCCGACATTTGGTGCATCCCGAGTTTTTTTTTTCCTAGGAAATCCTAAGAGACATTCAAAATTTTACAAAGAACAGAATATATTGAGTATTGAGCGAAAAGATTTTATTCTATATGTTTCTTCATCTTTTTTTAAATCATTCACTTGACAATATAACTCATACGATCAAATGTCGCATATAATTAAATTCGTCATTTCATGTCTCTTAAAAAAAAAAAAAAAAATCTTATAAAATATTTATAAATCAATTATTTTAAAATAAATTAGTTTATATTTATAATCATCATCGTGTTAGCATTTTCTTCAACAAATAAATGCTCGCTGTATACGCGGGGCTATCAATCGTTTCTCATGGATTATATCGAAACGCCATCGTTTACCGAAGGTTCCTTACGGCGCAAGTGCACACATGCACTTTAAGCGTGCACTCTGATGCACACACATGTACCATGTACATGTGCAATTTCCTCGACTCGACTGGACGGACGCTGCGTGAACAAACGCGGGATACGTGGGCCGGCAAGGACCTGGGCTAAGCGCTTCTGTGTTCCGAGCAAACATGCGCAGCGCGGTAGGCCCGGTAAAGACACTTAACCCGCACGATATACCGTGATCAGCATTCACGACTAGACGTGGAGCGCACGAGATGGACTCTAGTTACGCATAAACAGTACCGGCTACCGTGGACAGACCCGGTGTGAAATTTGTCCGATCTAGGAAGACATCTGCTTCTACATAAATATGCTGAATATTAGATATTCAAAGACTTTTTCTCTCTCTCTCTCTCTCCCCTTCTGTATTTTTAAGATTCATCTGAAAAATTATGATAAAATAAAAAGCAAAATAAGTTATCTTCTACATGAGAAAAATATAGTTTTACGATTTTATATTATTAATGAAGATTATTAGTTTATTAATTAAGATAATTAGTTTGTGAAATATGTGATTTATATTAACCTTTCAATATTAAAAAAATTAAATAGAAGTAACAGTGAATCGAATTTAAAAAATAGAAATATCACCAAAGAGTAGGATTTCATCTTGAAACAGATATCTTCTAAAGGTTCGAAAAAAAATATGATGCAGTAATTCCTGAATTCTAATTTTTTGCGTTGAAACAAAGATTACTAAGTAAATGTATAAATAAATTTTACATAGTACTAGGAGGGGAGCGAATTTTATATATATATAATTTAATAAAAAAAAATGATTTATATGTATAAATAATGTTAAAAATTTTTTAAATATGAAGAAAATAGCTTTCACACAATTAAAAAGATGCCAGCATGAAATTTTATGTAGCAACTATAATAATTTAATGGATGCTCTATATATGTTAAATATATTAAATATACCTATATAATATATTTTTAATACGTAAAGCATCTATTAAATAATCATAATTGTTATATAAAATTCCAAATATGCAGCTTTTTAATTGTAAGACTTTTCTCACATTTTTTTAAATTTCCAACATTTATTTGATAACCCAATTCCTTAAATCCATTAATATAATCTTTCTTCCATTGTTTCTTCGATTGTTCTTGCCTACATTACAAATATGAGAATTTTGCAGCCATTTAAGTATGTAAGAAGAGAAAGTAAATCTTTTCTATATGGATTCGACTAAAAATCCAGGATTACATTCGTTAATATGAGAGAGAGATCGCGTTTTCTATTCGCACAGGATCCGTAGGCGTAGAGACAGCCCTGTTCTGTACGTCAACCCCACGAGGCTCTACCACGGCATACCAAACAGAAGCCGGAGCAAGCAGACCGAATACCTGCCAGAACGACCACTCAGCTGTATCAACATTCGGTACACGACATTCCTCTTCGATCTCTTCTGCCAGTGAGACTTTAATAATACGATCGCGCTGAAAAATAACGTCCTCCGCTCGCTCGACGACCGTGATTTCTCGCTGGTAATCAACGTCGTCTTCGATCTTCACTTACTCGACCATCACGTTACATCATTCGTTCCTAATCGCGGTCATGAATCGAACGCGATCTTATAAAAATTTACTTATTATTCTCAGATATAACTTTAGTTTTCTGACATCAGGAATGTGCAACTATCGAGAGGAATAAAGAATGTAACTATAAAGATAATGATGAAAGGAACTCTGTAATTTATTTC